TCCCCATGCCCTACTCCCTATTCTCTACTCCCTGCTCCTTACTCATTACTCCCTGCTCCCTGCTCCCTACTCCCTACTTCATGCTCCCTATGCCCTCTCTCAGCTCCCTACTCTGTGCTCCGTGCTCCCTGCGCCCTACACCCTCTGGAGTGAAATTCAGAAATATTAGAGTTAGAGACTGAAAAATAAACGCTATTCAAAAAATGTAGCTGAACTGCGTTTTTCCAAGCTGAAAGCCATTCCTGCGCTGTTTTCGACACCTTTGTTTTAGTAAACAATTATCACAAAACACTAATGTGTACAAATACACACGCAGAAAAATGTTAAATATTTTTTAGCAGGAACCCGGTCTGTCATCGCCTTATTAGGTTCATCGTCATGTTTTAATGTTGTTGTCCAAACAATTGTGGCAGCTTCTTTTACACAGGGTGGAACTAAGCTCTCCGGGACCAGGCCTGGAGACCACTGAGCTAATGAGTGCGTCTCTAAACCTGCGGGGAGCTGTGCTGCCGGCTAACATTATTCAGCTAAAAACTACAGTATTTATTAATTTACAGAATTACCAGCTGTGCAGTTTGTTCCTTCCAGGGTAACCTATGGCAACACCCGACATGGTAACCATGGTAACCAGTAGTGCGCTCGAGTCATGAACTCGCGACTAGCAGAGAACTTGTAGAGAGGAGCCACTCTGCAACGTCTTCCGCCTTTTTTAGGCGCTAGAGGGCGCTCCCGACCGAGTCCAGAATGAATGGGTTGATATGGAGCATTTGAGCTAAATCATAGTTTATAAATGTTTAAACATTTTTAATGTTAAAGAATGCGATCATTTTCTGAACACAGAACAGCATAAAACATTTTAACACCGCTATTATGTTTTTAAGAGCTTTTAAACTCGAGTTATAGGAGTTTAAAACGGCGCCTCATGTATGTCCACACACAGTCAGTGAGCGAGCAGCCACTTACTAACCTAGGTGAGTTTTCTTTGGTTTTTTAGTGAAACACATTCTTATACTTTCTAAAATTAAAGAAACGTTCTGGGAAAGTGATTAGAAACTATTTTAGCTTTTCATTTTTAGCCGTTGAGCTCCATTTACTCCCATTCATTGAGGACTCACTCGCGGGCGCCCTCTGCTGTTTAGCAGTCCAGTTTTTGATATAACGGGGGGAATAGGGAGCGGCCAGGCTCCTCATAAACCGGCTCTGCGACCAGTCTAAACGGTTGAGTCAACGTCCCTTCGAAGTGCCCTATGTAGACCGCGTGAATGTCGAATAGAACTCACCCGTAGCGCAAAAGTGATGAAACAGCGCCCTCTGGCGGTTGAATCTGATAACGCGCTCGTCCAGTCCACAGAGCGTCGCTGGTTGCCAGGCGCAACGCCGCGTTCAAATCGCGCTTCGTGATTTTTCGTAATCAGGCTGATGAACAGATAACGTTAGGATGCCGAACAGGTTTTTAAAAATACGCGAACTTAAGCAGAACATTGTTATTTATGCCGAGGACTGATTTCGCCGTTTCCATAACAAACACGTAGAGTAGCTTGGTCACTATGGAGAGTCTGCAGAGCCTCCGTTTGAACCCTCTGCAGTCGGTCAGGTGTTTGGCTCCCTGCGGCCCGGACAGGAGCTCCAAAGCTTTTGCTGCCCTGGCCGCTCAGAGAGACGCCGGCGCCTTCTTTGAGAAATATACCTGGAGGGAAGTCCAGGAGCTTCTCAGTCAGACAACACACAGCTGGCTGTTCAGTGCTGAAGACTTCGCTCTGCCGGTGGATGCACCACCTGGACTCATCAGACAAATGAAGAACTTCTCCCACACCAACGCCATCATCCTCGCGCCCTGTGACCCCAGTGTGCCACTGGACTACAAAGTTGTTCACCAGATAGTCCGAGAGCTGACAGTTGGCATATACTGCTTCAATCAGGTGCCAGGGATCAGCCTTCAGCCCAACTATGACCAGAGCACCTCCTGCCAGCTGCCCCCAGCTTACTGTGATACCAGAATAGGGCAGATATTGATCAACATAGACTACACTATGAAGGCCCTCTGGCACGGGGCACACATACCAAAAGAAAAACGCCCCCGCTTCTCTGAGCTGTGGAGGTCCAGCATGAGTGTGGATTCAAATGGCATCCCTCAGACAAAGAAAGATGTTTTTGCTGAGTTTCTTACAGCTGGTAAGGCTTACAGCGTCTTTGCCCTAAAGGGAAAATCCATCCATTTTTCAAAATTTCTGCATGATTAAATATTTAAGATAGCAAACAAAGAAATTCAGAGGGGTTTGATGTGAAATTATCAGTTCTACAGAAAACTAAAATCAGTACGCTCTTAAAAAAGATGGTTCTTCGATGGTTCTTTAGTAAAGGCATTGGCTCTGTTTAGAACTATGATTTCTACATAGTGTGTATAGAAATCGAAAGTCAGAATTGCTCACAGTGGTGGTGACAGGAACCTGGGACTGTATTACAGAAACTTCTTATCTGTTTAGTCACCATGACAACTTCAGTTAGGACTGAATTTAGGACAGAAATTATTACAGAACAACAGTTCTTAAGTTCATAATCTCATCCATTAACTCCAGATAGGAAATCAGTATTACAGAAACACCCTAACTAGACCAAACAACCCCAGAGGGTCTTAACGTCTGTTTTAACCATATGTTTCTATTGTTTTTTGCACTGACAGGCAGCACAGTTCACCATAACTGGCATAATGATGTTACATTTATCTACACTGAAAACGGTGCTTTGACTTGTTCCATATAGAAGCATTTCATGCTTAAATGGTTCTTTGCATTATGAAATGGTTCTTCAGACTGAGAGAGAATGTGTTGTATATGGTTCTGTGTGGTAGGAGTGGGCAATATGGCAAAAATATTATATATATTGCAATACTTTGAGGTATTTTCACAATACAAGATATGCATCACAATATTTCTTTTTTTTTTTTTTGAGATTTAATAAACTGGAAAAGTCAAAACAGTCAAAAGCTTCTGTCCTGAATTCAGTCCGAACTGAAGTTGTCATGGTGACTAAACAGGTAAGATTTCAGACTTAAGAAGTTGTAATACAGTGTAATACTGTAATACAGCCCCAGATGTCTGAAGAGTTTAACGCCTCTAAAAGGTCCCTCGCAGACAGTTATTACACAAAGTAGTCATGAATATGCCGCCTCATACCTGAGACATTGTTTTTCAGTAATTTTAAGATGTTTTGGCCCAAAACAGATTCATTTTTAAATCAGTTCCTGATGGAGTGGTTCATGCAGAGCGATGTAAAGCAAAATAATACACAAAAAAAACATGTTTTTTCAGATTTATTACTATTTGGTCATCAGCATTACATATAAAAAATCAGAAGACGTGTCGGTTGACTGCTGGTTTTGGATAGTAAATGAAATGGCTATATTTGTGTTGTAGACATGGTGACCCCTGGTTCCCATCACCACCACTGTAAAGAAATCAGTCTGTGAGTTTCTCTACAATGAACTATTTCACATCAAACCACTCTGAATGACTTTGTTCACATCTCAACAAGTGAATTAAGCTGAAAGTTCGAAAATGTGGAGAAATTCCACTTTAACTGCTTCTTTTCTCTAAATAGCTGGTTTATTATTCTGTTGTTAATCTTCAGATTTGTCATTCTCTGTATCACTATACACTATAAAACTACTATGAATCTAATCTAATATGTCAGTTTTGTAGTGAGAGTGAGGCATTAAAGTGTAGACCTATATACATGGGCTTCATGTTTAAAGGGCTCATATCACTGAAAAAAAAAAATTTCATTTTTAAAATAAGACGTTGATGCAGCATGTGAACACTGTTTCAAAACATGTTCGTTTTCCATATTATGCAAAAACAGCCTGTTTTGAATTAATTGTTTTTATGTTGTCAACTGTCCAACTGTTTTTTGAATGAGACACAATACAAGACAGCCAATAAGAGCAGAGGTCATTTACTTTTCAGTCTTAAAGGCACAGTAACAAAAACAGCCTGTTTAATTCCAAGGGATAAAGAGAGGCTGGTAATGTAAAAATAAATTATGTTTTTGTACATAAAATCAGACAAATTTTGAAAGTAGAGGAGGAAAAATTAACTTCAAGAAAGGGATATGGGCCCTTTAATCTGGTTGGTTTACGCATCACATTTTCTTACTGCTTTTAATGGTAAAATACAGTCTATTATAATGAGAGCTTCGATTTTTCCTTTCATTCATTTTTATAATCTTTTCCTGTAGGTTTGCAGGATATCTCAGACGACCCTTGTTATCAGGGCATATATGACGAAGATACAAATGACATAGACCCAACCTACGACCCCAACAGCGCCGAGGAGCAGGAAGTTTTCTCTCAGTTTGCAGAAAATGTCCTGCTAAAGATCACCTCCTACCTGACCTCTGTCCAACAGCATGAGAACCTGTTCACCTTCGAGGGGACTCACTCCCTGTCCAGTGTGGTCCGGCTGACCGAGGACGTAGTAGAGCTCGGCATGTACCAGCGGCTGCAGCAGAGATTGGCCAGACACATGAGGCTGGTGAGGAAACACCTGGGTCGTAAGGTGGAGCTGGGCCGGGACCTGGCCTACCTGAAGCTCATCAGCTTCCTTGTACCCTTCCTCGTGGGCCTGAGGAAGAAGATGAGGATTCCTGACCTGTCTCAAATGCTCCCGCCCATCTCAGGTCTGCTAGGACCGACTTGTATGACTCGTGTATCGTCACTGTCAAGAAAGAAACATGTATCTCCAAAATGACAACTTTATAGGAAAAGGCAAAAACCTTATTTACTTTTAATGTAAATTAATACAAAGAAATTTAATTCTAAGGAATTAAAGGGCAGCTGCTCTGCTCAAATGATATAGAGAAAAAAATTGAAAAAAATGATACTTGTTTTCTTTCTTTCACAGTGACAATATTCTGTTTTTTTTTCACATGAATGCACACCTATTGGTCTGGAGGACCTCAGCATTGAAGGTTCAGTTTTTTTGGCCCTAACCCATCTAATTGAC